AAAGTTGGTAACTATTTTTCAAAATAAAATACGTCTTGATTTATTTGAATATATTAATTTATAAAAAAAACCAACGATCTTTTTTAAATATAAAATAATGTAAACAAGATAAAATTTTATTAAAAAAAACGATTTTAATTTTACAATTAAAATATATTTTATGTGAATGTCCCGCAAAACGGCCGCAATTGGAAATCTACCCTGTGTGTGTATAACATTATAGGGATAGGCGCATAATTATCACGTATCACGTTTAAATACATAATAAGGTACTCCAAAAAAAAGAAATAATACAGATGTAACTACAGTTGAGGCAATTTTAATCAATCTTGTAGTGCAACATTCACAGAGATACTTATCATCACAATGTTGGTAGAATCTTTTTCCCATAATATTTAACGACTCTAATATAAATGAAAACTATACTTGTAGAACAAAAATGAGCAAGGCTATCATCAATGTTTTAGGACCTAAATCCAGGAGGTCAGTTCTTGACGATTTAAAGATGGGCATACATATGCAATTCTATGCATCTAACAAAATTAAGGTCGTTTCAATAAAACTATTAAATTTTTTCCCCTCAAATAGTGAAAAATCCAAAGACATAGCTAACCATATAATGATAAATATAGCAGATTCGAGATTATCAATAAATTGCATGTCAGCTTTCTGATCTGATAATGCCTCAGTGAATTTGTAAAAACAGAGTGTATTTACAGAATTGAGTCAGCACAATGTTAGTTATGTTCCTAATACTCGCCATCGATAGAATTTTAAAATTTTATAAACCTTTAAAAAAATATTTATTAAATAAAAATTATAAAAGCTGTCCTAACATTTTGAAAAATTTTTTCAATAATGAATGGCAGAGGTATATTTAGGAATGATTTTACATGTAGGAAATCTACTAAATGCTGTTAATGTGTAGTTGCAATCAGAAGAATCTTAACAAAGATTCACAAAATTATGCTACAGATGTGTTCATCTTTACAGTTAAAAATTGACAATAAATTTTATGGCGCCATTGCTAAAATTTAATTATATTTTATTTGAGATTTAAATAATAGAACTAAATGTTTACCGTCGTTATTGAGATATTTATAAAATTCCTGGCATATATTATATATTTGTTTAACCATTAGCTCGGCCTCTAATGTTGTTATAGCAATCCGATTTCTCTCATTTTTCCAGGCAGTCCTCATCAGGCTAAAAATGCGCTCGGATGAGGCATTAGAATGAGGTAAGGAGAATACATACTCGCATATTATTTCCAAGCATGGGGATTTATCGTTATTACGAAAATATTCTACCCATTTCTCCTCTGTTTTTAGACCATCTAACTTTAGGTATTTTGGCGAATTATAAAATATAGAGAGAATTACAATCTTCTCAAACAAGAAATCAATGTCTTTTGGTATTTTTAATATATTTATTAAATTATAAAAACCATCAATTGATGGTTTCTGTTCTAAGGTCATAATATTTATACATTTGTAAATAGAGTTATTAAAATCAAATTTTGATTGTAGATATTCTAAAATTGTCTTAATAAAAATATATTCTTCTTTTAAAAATGTATTAATTAGAGTATTATTTGAACATTTTAATATAGTATTTTTAGCAATAACGCCATAAAATTTATTATAAATTTTTAACTGTAGAGATGAACAGAGCTGTAGCATGTTGTGAATCTTTTTTAATAAAGAATAATCTTATTGCAACTGAATATTAATTGCATGAAGTAGATTTCCTACATGTGAAATGAACCAAACAAGCTTCTGCTATTTCATACTCGAAAAAATTTTTTCAAATTTTAGGATAGCTTTTAATCCATATTTAAAAAGTAATTTTTAAGGGTTTGTAAAATTTTAAAATTCTATCGATGGCAGGTATTAATGACAACCACCTGATAGGTATATATCGCAAACAACTCACACCATTCCAAGTCAGACCACTTCACCAACTCTTTTAATTCATTAACTCTTTTAGTTGATGAACTAAATTCGTTAAAACATTTCATCACAATTATTTCGACATCCACAGATAGTACATTCATTGCCTTTTTGCAAGAATTATGTAGCATATGGCATATAAGCCAATTAGTATTAATTCATTATTGTGCTGCCTCAATTCGGTAAATGCACTTTGATTTTTGCCAAAATTCACAGGCATTATCAGCGCAGAAAGCTGAAATGCAACTCATTACCCTGAATCAGCTATATTTACCATTATGTGGCTAGCTACACTATTCGAGGAAATAATTTTAACAGTTTTATTGAAATGTTCTTATTCTTGTTGAAATAGTGAAGGATCGAGGGAAATGTTTTAATATTTCCCTTATTAAATGCATCTATTGCATATGGATGCCCATCTTTCAAATCATCTAGAATTGACCTCTAGGATTCAGGTACTAAAACACTTGTAATAGCCTTGTTCATTTTTGTTTGGCCACAAGTAAGGTTTACACTTATATTGGAGTCGTTAAATATCACGAGAAAAAGATTCGACCCAGTGATGATATAGCTCTGTGAATGTTGAACTACATGATAGATGTATACTATTTCCGAAAATGTAGTTGCATCTGTATTATTTATTATTTTTGAGAATATTTTTGTATTGCAATCATGTTGATATACTCCCCTGTACTGACTTATATGAATGAAATGATGTTGATTTATTATTGGATAAAAATAAAACAGGATAGAAAGAAATTTACAAACTAGACATGTTTTTTGAATAAATATTTAAAATTTATTTTAAAAATATAAAAATAATCAATTAATGTCTCTCAAAATCATTATTTATATATTAAAAACGTTAAAATACTTTTTAAAATAATTGCGGTAGATTTTTGAGATTCCCAATTGCGGTAGTTTTGCGGGAGAGAGATGTCTGCGTGTAAACTAAAAAATTGCTGGAGTCTCCCGCTGATGGGGGAAGATATGGCAACCCTGTGTATGGACATCCTCTAAGAAAAATTCCTAACTACGCGACTGTTTACACGGCAAGGATGCCATATTAAAAATGAAACATTTTGGAACTATAAAATAAGGACCAGAATAATATTATGAAACAATTAAGAATTGTCGCACCACCTCTAGTTGGTATATTCTATCTTAAAATATAAGTAGTTTGTAAAAATATCAAAAATATACTTAACTGTTTTTTAAAAGAAAAAAATAGCTTTCCTAACGTAAAAAAGAAAAGAAATCAAATTTATTACATCTATTGTAGGATGAATAATAAAATGTTTTATTTTTAAAATTATTTATAACTAAATAGATGGCATTAAACTTGAAAGCAAATTGTTACTATATTTATTATAAAAAGCATTTATTAGTAAAATTATTCTAATATTAGCTGTAATATATTATAACTGTCAAACACGTCTATAAAAGTGGCATTTTATCTAATATTTTATTAACAACTGTATATAATAGAGAATTATAAACTATATGTCTACTTACTTACTTTTTATTATACTTATTTGGACCTTGAAAATATTTTTAGGAATAGGTATGATAATAAAATTTAAAAAAAAATATACAGTTGATTAGTCATTTTGTACTCTGCTAATTACAATATTAAATTTTTTAGTTTTCAATTAATAAATGATTATATTTATTTTATTAGGGTTATAAAATAATTTAAATAATAATAGTCAATTAAGCTTCAGCTGTTAATCCTAAATTAATATTTAGTGGGTGATATTGATATTCTATTTTTAACACAAAATTTGATTGCTAGCTGACATAGTGAAAATATAATTTATATGTATTATTTTAATCTAATATTTAAAATATTATTCATTTAATCAATATTTAGATAGTCTTATTAACTTTTAAATATAAAATTAAATCTATATTTTACTCAACAGAATTATATAAGAAATCTTTCAGGGGGCAATCAAAAAAATTTATTTTAGTTCAAGGGGTTAAGATTCCATTAAAAAAATTTTTTTTTGCTTCAGAGGGCTATTCAAATATTCCAGGGGGCTCAAGCCCCTGCGCCCCCCCCTTGCCACGCCACTGTTCATAAGAATAGTTTTTTGCAATGATTGATCACCATTTAAAATAATATAAGAATCACACAATATAATAAATATTAAAATAAAGTAAATTTTTAGGTTTGAATGATTTAAACAAAGTATAAAACAGGTTGTGAAAATCCTATAATGGAAATATTAGGAGTTACATAATTAGCAAAGTTATAAAGTTAAGAAATATTTGAATCAATATATTGTAGAGGTCAAAATTTGAAGTCTTTCCTGGATTTTAATTCAGTGGCATAAGAATAAGCTGTAGACATTGGTGTTCATGTTTTTCTCAGGCCCCTTGCAATTTATTTTAGTATCTTTCAGCCAATTTATTTTTATGTTATGTAAAAAAAATAATATCATAATTTGGGATTTGATTAAGAAATCTCATGCCTAATAAGCTAACAAAAATATTATACTTTTATATATAAAATATCAAACTGATATAAACAAAAATATTATACTTTTATATATAAAATATCAAACTGAATAAATATTATTTAGTAAATTTTGATATTACATTCACCTTACATGATTAAAATAAAAAATTGTATTTATAAATCTTTGCACATTAAGCTTAGGCCATGCATCTATATAAATATAAAAATCATAACAGGTCTGGTGTACTAGGATATATAGGGTTTTTACTTTATTAACATTAATTTTTTTAAAGTTATTAAATGAACATTATGACAAGAATGAATGTTAATAAAAACCTAATTCATAATTAAATAAGATATTCAATTAATCCTATTAATTGGCCCTATTTTGTTTGAGAATGTTGTTAAATTCCTCAACATCTATAAAATTTTTAAATAATTATTAGATTAGGCTATGTCCTAAATATCAAAAATTGCATAAAAATAATCTCGCGCAATTTGCGCGAGTTTAACGAAAAAAAAAATATAAGCCATTTTAAACGGAAAATTAAAATGTTGGCCTAAATGATTTTTTCGATTTTGCGCATACTACACGATTCTTACAAATTTTACGATTCGTAAAACTTTAATCTTTTTTTCTTTAAACTTTTGTAATTTGTGCGAAAAGATGGCGATGCAGCAAGTAAAATAAAATGGGAAGAGATAGGGAAGATATATGAATTAAACTATGAGCAAATAAAAAAAAAGTTCACAGCTATAAAGTCAAAATTTAATAAATTTTATTCCCTTTCAAAAAAATCAGGTTTGATATTATTAAATATATTATAATTTAATTTTATATAGGTTCTGGTGCTGCTATGATAAGCAGTAGGCACTTGAAATTTATAGAAGATTATTTTTGGCTAAAAGAAAATGTGGAAGATATTTGTAAGAATGCAGAGGCAAGTTTTAGTTTGGATCAAATATCTTCACATGTATTATAACATGAAATTATAATTATATAATAACAATATTTTAGGATTATGAACAAAATATCCAAGATGTGGTGAATGTACAAACATCATCACAGGTATTATAACATGAAATGTATATAATGAACTATATATTAGGATTACGAGTTAAATACACATGATCTTTTAACTGATATTGTTAATCCTACTGATATATATGAGAAAGAAATTTTAGAGGTTAAATTAATATTATGTATATATTATTAATTTAATTATAGTTAGACAATTCTTTTAATAAAGAAAATATTAATCCATGTAGCTCAAAGAGGAAGAATTTAGATACTCCTAAATCTAAAGCTAAAAAATCTAAGAAGTATGAAGATGAAAAAATGGAGATATTTAGGGGTACATTTATATATTTAATAATCATTAATTTTTAAAATAGGTTTTGCTGCCAAACATACATCCCAAGGAGATGATCCCCATAATATTATGGGTTTTTTCAAATCATATCAAGCTCCATTTAATATTATGAGTGATAAAGAAATTTTTGATTTTAAATTAAAATTTATAACAACAATGTTAGTTTAGTTTATACTGTATTTTTTTAATTATTTTATACATTTTTATATCTTAATTTTTAATACCATAATATGTTAAACATATTTTGTATATTTATTTATAATAAAAATTATTGAAATTTAGTCATTTGTCTTACTCATTAAATTAATTAGAAATAACTTACTTATATAATGTAATCAAAACAACACTTTTATTTGCACTTTTTATTGAATATTTATAAATAAATTATATAACTTTGACAAATGAAAACATTCATAAGAGATATAAGGTTATGGGAATTAAGAAATATAAGATTATGGGAATCAAAAATTAATGTGTACAAAAATTTTACATATAATTATTTACAAATAAATCTCTAATATTATTAGAGCTTTCAGTCCATCGCTGGAACTGAGATTGGGTAAAATTGAGTATTGGGTATTGTTCATGATTTATATCTGTGCTATGATTTTTGTAAGAATGTAATTAAATGTTTTCACATGCATATGGAACATCTGACAAAATTTGTCAGGATATGAAGGAATACTATCAAATGTTCTAAAAATTCCTTGATCTCTAGAATTAATACATATAATATAAATCATATCATATATACCGTCCTTCTAAAAATCTATGCCTTCTTCTAGACTCAGTCGTATCTTCAAATAATATAAAATAGAGAAATAGTATAATGCATATCAAACAATTTAAAATTGAAAATAAATGTATGATTCGGGACATGTTTCGTATCTCGCAAAACTCGCTAAAGTTGTGCATTTCGCAAAACTTTTGCGAAATTATTTTTTTGATTTAGGACACGGCCTTAAGTATATTTGAAAAGTTGGTAAATTCCTCAACATCTATAAAATTTTTAAATAATTATTAGATTAAGTATATTTGAAAAGTTGGTAACTCACTGAATCACGGGGAAATTTTTAATATTATTTTTTTTTATTTATTTTTTTTTAATATTTTTTTTTAATATATTTTTTTTATTTATTTTTTTATACAGATTTTTTTTTAAAAAAATAACAAACGGAGTAAATTTAAAAGTTTAAAAAAAACCGAGTATATTTAAAAATTTTAAAAAAGGACTGTATTTAAAAATTTTAACAAACGGAGTATATTTAAGAATTTTAAAAAATGGAGTATTTTATTTGTGAAAATTTTCATAATTCTTACAAATTGCTATTAAATCAAATTATATATATTTAAGGAAAAACAGAAATAGTTCTATATAAATTTATATCATTTAAAAATTTAATTAATTTATTTATATTAGACATATTTTTAATATTACGAAAATAGGAATATTCACATACATATAAATGAGAGGAAGATTTTCTTCCATTTCTGGGGATGCTTGTCTTAAGATCCCTCCATAAACGCTCAATACGTTGAGTGTGGGTTGATATATTGCTATGATTGATGATGATCATATCCGTTTTCGTCCAGAATGTTATAACTTGGAAAAATATTTATTTTAAGATTTATCAATATTTAATTTACCCCTTCCATTTGTCCGTCATTATAATTGAATCATTATGGACATGCTTACTAATTATACCCAGAAGGGTCTCTTTATCTCTTTTCTCAGTTTCAGCTAAAAAAAATTCCATTATTTCTCGATATACCGACTACAACCCAAATGGCATTGGATTTTAAAATCCTTTCTGTGTTATTTTTCTTCCTAAAAATATGAGATTCCTCTATTTCAATAACATGCCTAGGACCCCCTATTTCCTCAAAAGAGATGGCCTGTGTATGGTAGCAAATTTTTCTAAATATTGCATATCTTATAAAAAATTATTGACAAATTTTATAGATATATTTTACCATTTTCCAATAGTATTTTGGGCTAATTTGATTAAAACAAGACTATCACTAATAGAAGTCCAGGACACAAAAAGATATATTAGGTGGATAAATTTGTTAATAGGAAGATTTACATTTTCAAATATAGTGCCTAATTAATAAAATATAATCTAAAAAATAATATATTAAACCCTTCCATATAGAATAGCTGCTTGAATTCTCCATTTTTCTATTTTCATGCTATTATTGCAACACGTGTGATTGATAAGAAATTCATGATCTTTTAAAAAAGCCATCGGCCTTGTATAAGAAATTATAATTTTGTTAAAATTTATATAAAGATGTAAAATGTTAAATTTAAAAAAATATTAAATTCTTAAAACTTTTGAATAATAAAACTATGAATTTATATTGAATCAAAAAATTTCCGTCAAAATCCAGACGATCATTTATTTATATTTTTTAATAAAAAAAATCTAAAATATCGCCAATTGAACCAAAAATGTATGCAAAATTCCAGAGTTGTTAACGCTCCTTTTTAAAAGTCCCGCTCCAAGTAATGGAGTGCCACTCCATAACCGCTCCTTTGATTTTCATTTTTTTAGAGGGTATATGAAATAAAATCTTATTTTTATTTATCAAAAAGCTTTATTTATATTAAATTATCTATCAAAATATTTATAAACTTTTATTAGCTTTTAAAAATAATAAAATTTAAATTAGAATCTACAAACATCCATGCTTCTCCCCTAAGACCTGTTTTGCAATACTAAATAGGCACTCCACAGGAGCACTAGAGGGAAAGCAGGGTATTGGATTTTTTAAAGATATTTTTTAATTCAGGGAATTTATCAAAAATAATAATTTTGGTATCATTATTAAAAAAATATTTGTCCAATATATTATCTTCCTGATGATCAATTTCATGGAATCCAAAAACATTTTCCAAATTAATTTGTATTTAAAAGAAAGATTTTTTACTTTTAGATGCTTTTTAGATGGAAGCTGCTCACTTTTGAAAATTAAATAGTTTTATTTAAACACAAAATACATTTTGCCCGTAATTTGTTTGATCATTTGGATCAACATCTTTTAGAAGTTTTAAATATTTTTTGTATGATGGAAATGGAAATTCGATTTCTTCATCTATGATATCTAAATCCATAATATCTAAAACTATTTTTTATTATATATCTATAAAACGAATATTAATATGACTTACAAGATTTTCCAAAAAATTTTCAATATAAAAAGGAAAACTTGATGTTTAATATTTAAAATGATTAGATAAAAACCAATATAAAACTCGGCTAAAATGAATTTTAATTAATAAATATTATTAATTTTTAAAAAATAATTTAATTTATATATTAAATTTAAAGGAGCGGGGGAGCGGCGCTCCTCCACTCCAGCCCTAAAAGGACCTAGCTCCCGCTCCCCAATTTAAAACAGAGGGGCGCTCCAAGTGTTTTTGAAAATGTAGCAGCGCTCCAGGAACGCCGCTCCTTAACAACTCTGCAAAATTCTTAAAACTTTTGAGTAATGAAACTTTAAATTATTATTACATCAAAAAGTTTCTACCTAAATCCAGACAATCTTATATTTTATTTTAAATTAAAAAAAAAAATATTAAAAAAAAATAATAAAAATAAATAAATAAAAAAAAATAATAAAAAAAAAAATAAAAAAAAAATAATATTAAAAATTTCCCCGTGATTCAGTGAGTTGCCGAAAAGTTTCAACTCTGGGTTATAAATTGTGGTCCATACTATTGGAATATAAATGTTTTAAAACCATTACTAAATATTGTTTAAAGGTTCTCTGCCTGAATTTTAAAATTACCATTACATTTTCCATTAAATAAAAAAATTGCGTTAAAAATAATTTATTAAAAAAATAAACAACTTTTTTTTAATATTTATTTGTTAAATAAAAAAACAAGCGTGTTAAATAAAAAAATAAAATAAATTTATATGACACCATTTTTTGCTGTTTAATAAAGGCGTTCGAGATTGTAAAGGCTAGCGACGCCCCTGCCTGTTACCAAAGAAACACATGATAATTAAATAAATTTCAGGTATAATTATTATGCTTTATATTTACAATATATATATGTTTTACTAGATAAAAAACATTTTTAGAGCAAGTTAATTATGGTTATACTGTTTTGATTATTGCTTAATAAATATCTTTAAAATTTATTTAGGTAATCAAGTTAGAATAAATACTTTTTATAGTGATAAAGAATATAATTAAACATTTTCTGCTCCTTATTAACATTTACAGAGCATAATATTATTTAAATTGATTTAGAGTCAAGTTAGAATAAATACTTTTATAGTGATAAAATTATAATTAAACATTTTCTGCTCTTTATTAACATTTACAGAGCAAATAAAGGTCATGTTTAATACTTAATGAATACTATTAAGATTTATTTAAACTAATCAAGTTAAAATAAATACCTTCTATAGTGATCATAATATAATTAAATATTTTCTGCTCTTTATTAACATTTAAAGTTTATTACTTAATATTTTTAAGATTTTATATAGAATAATCAATATAAAATAAAAATTGTATAGTAATAAGAATATTTAAAATTTTATTGAAATTTCCAGAGAAGTAAGGAGATTTATTGTTTTCTTTATTACTTAATGAATATCTTTAAGATTTTTCAAATTTATTGTTATATTATAGAAATTAATATTATATATTTTGGTTATTAAATAGTATATGTTTATTATGTAACGCGCATTCATTTAACTTATTCAAATTATATTTTTATTTTAGTTATAATTTTATTTTATAACTTAACCTTTTTAATATTATATTCTAATTTTAATTTGTAAAAATGTTATATATACCTTATGAAAAAGAGAAATAAAAAGAGATAAAATAATATATTTACTTTTTCTCCAAGGACGTCCTTCTCCTTTCTTCGTGGTGCCCAGCTCTGGGTGGTGAACTAGAATGAGATGACTATCTAATCTATTGAGATGACCAATGTCTAATCTATTGATGTCCAATGCCTAATCTATTGAGATGACCAATGTCTAATCTATTGATGTCCAATGCCTAATCTATTGAGATGACCAATGCCTAATCTATTGAGATGACCAAGAATCAAACCCTAGCACGTTCTTTCACGCCAAAAGCTTCTTCATGGTGTCCTGGCTCTGGGTGGTGGACTGCAATATGATGACCAACCTAATCTAATGTGACAACCTAGAACCAATATGGAAGT